TATTATTATTATTTATTATTATTATTATTATTTTTTGTAAGCTACTAATAAACATTATTATTATTATTAAAATTATTATTATTAAAAAAAATATTATTATTATTACTATTATTATTATTATTATTATTATTATTATTATTATTATTATAAAAGATACTTTGACGACTAAAAATTAATAGTGTCATTTTGTCTAGAACGACTTAGGTGAGACCAAAATCCTTGATGTATATCCCTAGGCAAGACAAGACAAACATCCCCAACCTTTTCAAATGGAGTTCTGCCCCCGCCCCCCTCCCCTCCTGGCGGTAATACCGTAAGTCTCTGAGCAGACAGCTCTATACTAGCAGGGTTACATCACGAGAAATAGTATCACTCTTCTAGAGCTAATCGAGGTTATATTTGTTAAGGACGTATTATCAGAAGGCCTTTAATTTGGTGTCCACACTTTAGTGTGTGTGTTTTTTTTTTTTTTGATTACAATCATGAGGTTTAGTTTTGCATTCTTTCGATACTTNTTTTTTTCTTGTCTATTGATTTACCTTTGCTTATCCCACAGGGAGCCACTGAAGTTCTTAAACCTGGTGAGTCAGCAACAGAGATAAGGCGTATGCTCCTTCACCCTGATACAGTCCGTCGCATGGTGGAGCCAGATTTTAATGTTGAAAGACCTGAAGGATGCAATGATGCCTTAATGTTGTATGCCACTACAGAGCAGACGGATTATGAGCCGCTCACCCAGGGGGCTATAGACCTGAGTCCACATCTGAGTACCCGAGGGCTTAATACTCCTCGTGTATGTATAAATAAACAGTTTTCTTGAAAAGGAATTGTTGGGGTGTTACGTGACAGAATTGCTGGGGATATCCTGCAATGTGCTATAAGTTTTCATTTAGAGGAAATGGCAATTTGTATAAAATAATAGAGAGATGTTTTGTAGATTTCTTTTTGCCAGCGGGGTTAACATAAAAAATTGTAGGGGTGCTTGCGATGAACTAGCAAGTACCTGTATCGTGTACTAGAGGGGGAGCAGTGTGTATTGACAGAGATTCGTTTCAGGGAATCTGACAAAAATGAGGTAAGGTAACACGATCTGCCGTGGACAAGCAAGTCAAGTTTTTTATCCAGCAGGGATGGACTTCCACCTTAAGAAATTATTATTTAGTGTTATTTTTCTTTCCAGAAATGTTGGGTGTGTGAGGGCGGCGGGAGGGGTCCCATTCTCCCATGGAGTAAGACGTTTCCATCTGGGAGAGTGGCAATACGTGTCATAAAAAGAGGGGAGGGGAAGGGGAGGGTTTGGTTTTATGTAATGGTTTAAATCACTAGAAAGCCAGCCAGGTTCCTCTCTGTTATGAAAAGTTTAGTCTAGTGCCAGGCTGATTGTCAAACTTGCACATAATTGACAGGGATTGTTAAATCTACAAGAGATGACTGTGACCTATCCTTAAGGTATCTCTCTGTTGTTTACTTTAGGGATGGCGTCTAGCTACCGTCAGAGAGTTTCGGGATGCTCTGGAATCCGAGCCCATGGAGAGGGAGAATGTGCGTGGGAATCTTAAATGGCTAACCATGAAACGGGAAATTAGAGTGCTCTACCACCAAGATCAAGAACCTGTGTCGTAAACGGATGTAAAGCGACACCCCTCCCCCCCCCCACCGAACCACTTTGAAAACAAAACATGTCAAAGGTGGGAGGAGGGGTAGAAAAGTAAAAGATCGATCTATCTTAATCTTGTGTTGGGGGTCTTACCTGAAGATCCTATTAACTCTTCACTTTTTAATCCATGCATATGTTTCAACACTTTAGACAGTTTGTCACTCATAAGTGAAGTAAAACGCTTATATGCTCTTCGTTGCTTATGAATCCTAACTGGCAGAGCAATTGGTCATTTTACAAACGCGGGGGATTGGGTACTATCGAGAGTTTGCACCTGAGACCACCGGAGTTCAAAATCCAGCATTGCTCTTTGATCGCTCGTTCACACTTCTTGCTCTATGAGCTCTCTCTAGGGAAGGTCGGGGCGAGGGACCTCGTCGGACCCCAAATAAAGTGAAGCTAGCAAGAGGTCGGGGTGGGACGGGACGGGACGTGACGAGGGATGATTTGGCGGGGCGGGATGGGATAGGGAGTGGAGCACAACCCAGAGAAAACAATTTATGATTTTGTCCTTGAAGTCCAAATTAATTTTTAGTTGGTTGCCTTAACGGGGATTTTCGCATTGCAGCAGAGCTTCTCCTTTCCACTGAACTTCTCATGGCGTCTTTAGAGAGAAATCTCAGTGATTATAATTATAGAAGAGTATTTCACATGAATACGCTGCAGTATTTTACAAAACGAGCTATTGTTCCCACGGCTTGTGAGGGTAATAGTAGAATACTTCTCATTTTTGCCCTAATCTTTATTGACTTGCAGGAAGTCAAGTCCAAGAAATGTTTGCATATCAAAATAAATGTCTGAACTTAAGGCAGGGTAAATAAAAGCATTAATTTACTTGACTTATAGGGTAATAATGGGGTAAACTATCTCACTGTTATGATTTTACTTTGCAAACAAAAGCTGAAGCGCATTTGCTCTGAACCTAGTTAATAAATTCCCCAATCATGCCATGATTTTTATTTTTCTTATTATACAAATAAGTTGTAACTTAAAAAAAAGACAATTATTCTTTTAAATGTAAAACAACATGTTCGGATGTTTAACATCCATCGTCAGGTAATGACAAGGGAGTAAATAAAGTGCACAAAACAAACAAGAATCAAGTCAAATACTCCTTGCGCCGATACTGTAAAAAATTATTGCTACAGAATTTCTGTCCCCCTTGTATTATTGTCATTTATGGCGACCCAAAACCTGACAAAAATAGTAACTGGGAATAACTTTTCTTGGTAAGTTGTCATCATGATATCTCTGTTTCCTGGAGCTGTTATCCACGAATCGATGCTAATGATTTATAGAGTGATCTTTAAAAAAACTTTATCTTAAATTTAAAAAAAACTTCAAAATTGTTTAATATTTATTATCTTACTTAGCATTATTGCTATCATTGTAATTGCTTTTATTATTATTTCAAGTGTCCCTGTTTAGTTGTTCTTAGAAAAAAAGGATAAATACCTTGAAACCTCATTCATTCACGTCACACACTTCGTCGTTTGATAAAGAGTACGTCGTTCGTTTTTTCATTGGCTTATTCACTCATTCACTGCGTTCCGTTCGTTTCGTTCGTTCGTTCGCTCGTTCGTTCGTTCGTTCGTACCTTCGGTGATTCGTTCGTTCGTTCTTTCATTGGTTCTTTCATTCATTCACTTCTTTTCGTCCTTTCGTTCGTTCGTTTATTCGCTTCGTTCGTTTGTTCGTGTAAGCACACTTAAAGGATAGACACCAACGAGTGCGCATAACAAAATTCAACAAACTTTCACCGGTCCTAAACCAGTGGAAGAAAACCACCTATACAAATTAATGTCGACAGACGCAAACGTTTGATAAGCCCGCACTAATAATCACTACTAGGCTACATATGTATCTTCTGTGATGACCGGTTATGTTACAACTGGGAACTCACGCGGGCGACGAGTAATGGGCGAGAGAAAAACGCGTAATGTATTGACATCTAAATGACTGCGCGCGAGTCACGAGGGGAAACTTCTTATCCCTCTGAGCAAGCAAGAAAATACAAGTGAATGCAAACTACAATAGGATTTCATGTGACCGAAGCGGTAGACAACTCAACGAGATTGCTCCACCCATTTTTTGAAAGGTAGATCGTATTTTTAAAAAAGGTCTTGCTAAAGGTAGACAAAGAACTATTTCAAATTTACTCAGGAAAGCGCCGTCCTCGATGAAGGGCGCCCTTGAATGAGTGCCGCACATGACACCTAACAGTAACAATTAAAAACGCGGCCCTCTAATAACCGCTGCACCTAGAACAACAACGGGGTGCTTATTGGAAGGGGCGAATGACACTATGCAGCGACTTGGCTCATATATGGAGATAAAATAACCCTATGTTTAAACTGCGTTTTGGTAGTTGAATAAGGATAAAGAGTTTTTAACTTTCTGTCAAAGGCAGATTCCAAATTACCATAACTTGCCAGTAAGGTAGACTAAACACAACGTAAACGTAAATGTTGTTTGAAAATTGAAATTTAAGACTGGAAGTTTGAGACGGATTATGCATTTCGAACTTGAAACGTTTAGGCTAAATTTTTCAAGATGTTTCACATGAGACATAGCCCCTTTATCCTGTGGAGAATCTATGAATATAATATGTAGGCCACTACAGCAAACAGTACAGCTACTACGACCAGTATGAAAGTGACTCTGGGATTAATATTCTGCACTTTCATACTCTCGGTCCTTGGCTGTTGGACATGTTCCTTTGTGTTTTCCTCGCGATCCGTTCTCCATTGAGCATGTTCATCTCCTCTTCGACAACGTATTTCAGTGATGCTAATGACAGAACAACACAGGTCTGTAAATACTTCACGGATGCGAAATTGAAAGTGCGTAGTTGGAGCTCTCAACAGAACCAAGAGAGGATTGGTAAGAGAGTTCACCTTATTCCCAATATAAGCACTCTCAAGTTATTTTCATACATGGTACCCAGTTCACCTTCAGGTAAGGTTGCCTCGCACGTTGCGTGTAAGTTTTCGTGGAGGATGAAAATGCGCGGAGTCCACGGAACCAAAATCCGGCTGACGGAGGTGGCTATATCTAGGCCCTCCTGGGATTTCCGAAAGCGGGAGTGATCTAAGAGGGATAACCTTGGGAATAAAACCTACCGTGGGAGATCAACTCTCTTACCCTTTCTCTTCTCATCTTGGATTTGAGAACCTTAGTTAGCTGCCGTCCATCCACTACTCTGCTGTTGTCATGAAGCTCCCTAGAACCTCTAATTTCATTGGATCTTGTTAGCACGAAGCTCTATTGTTTTAGGGCTAGGGTCCATTGTTACTTTTGTTTGTATATCATTTTCTCAGCCAATCCTGTGAGACGTTCCGAGGAGCTTCGTGGCGACCCCTAGTTTGATGGACATTTCTAGCAACTGGGCGGGGCTGGGAACACAGTTGTGGTGCCGATAGCACGTTATACTGTATTTGTACTTATATCTTCAATTTCGATGGAACTATTTGGTAAAAGGGGTTTCTAAAAGGTATCCCTACACGGGAGTTCTCTTTCTCCCTTAACGTAATTTACCGATAGAAGCACCTGAAATCCTAGCAACAATGACCAAAACATTCTCATCTAATTATTCTGTTCACAGTTATCACCTCAAAGGCCAACTTCAGTTTAAGTGACGTAAAGAGTGACATTTTCTGGTTATGATTCGTACAACATAGTCCCGTATTTTACTCGTTGCTCACTCGTACCTCTCCTCTTTCGTTCCAATTGACTCTGTTTGTTGAAATCCTTCCTTTGTTTTCTGGATTTCATCTTGTTCAGGGCAGAGTTCGGTTTCTTTCTGTGAAAGAAAGAAAGAAAAGTAAAATAGAGTATCTTCCATAACTGACTTTGTTCACTGGCTGTTAAATGGCATTGAAACCAGCGGTTAATGACGGAAAACTGAAAAATTATTATACACATAGTGCAGTATGTATGTGGCCTAACAGTCTCCATACAGATGAATGCGGGTCACTTCCCAGGTCTGATAACAAGCCTTCCTTTTGTTGAAGAGTCGTTTGCTGCCTTGTCAGGGTTGTGCTTCAATTTGAAAGTGATTCGAGGTTTCTTCACAGTAACTGGTATAGAAGCACCTTTAATAATGTGAAGAAATTATATGGTAGATAGCTGTGGTAGTAGCGGAGGTTTTGAATTGCCCGCCCATCTTGTTAGGTAAATAGCACACAAAGTGAAAGAAAACTAAATATATTCTTTCACATTTTACTCGTCCCTACCTGATAGCTCAGCACTGTTTCTTCGACCTCAGGTGATATAGAATGTTCTGCGACTATTGTCCTATCCTTTTCTTGATTTGCCGTTGAACCCAATTCGCTATTACGATTGTCATCATTTTCGTGTTCCAAGCTTGAGAATGTTGGTACGTTCGTGACTTCTCTGAAAATATCACAGCCTTCTACGGGAAAAGGTGCCTCATGTGGTTCTGACCCTGTGATATGGACAATAAACTACTATGTTATAAGTACTTAATAATCTAGTTTGTTATACCTCACAACTCAAATACGTTTTCCGATTGGAGGAAAACATATCACGTGTCGTGAGTCAAAACTCACAAACTCCCTAGGGCGAAAAAGAAACTCACTCCCCAGCGAAACAACAACATGAACATTCGACTCGCACGTTTTCAGGTCGTGCTCCTTGAAACCGCGGCAAATTTGTGAGCCAGCTGGAGTAAAGCAAACGATTTCTTCTCAGTTTTTTTCTACTTTTAAGTTGGGAGGTATAACAAAACACTTAATGACTGGTCCCGCGGGAAACTGAGTTTTGTTTCCCCTCGACCTCAATGTTCCCCTCGGCGAACATTGAGGGTCTCGAGGAAACAAAACTCACTGTTTCCCCTGGGGCCAGTCATTAAGTGCTTAATATCATCCTCTTCTCTTACTTTTGGGAAATGCGGTAATGAAGAACCACTTGAAAACCACTTAGAAACCAAAGGGTGACTGTCACTGTAAATATCACAAGTTTAAGAATAGCCATATTTTTTTTGTAACATACCGTGATTACCGGTCTCTGGATTTTTGACAGCTTGGAATCTTCGGCTTGATGGTGATGCAGGTTGTGTTACCTGTTCGTTCTCTTCTGCCATGTATTTGACACACTGCGCATCTGTCGCGACTTCATCTCCCTCCCCATCGCTATCTTTGTCGTCACCTTTTCTTTCTGGAAATAAATGAATAAATTACGATGGTTAGGGAGGAGGCCACATTCGGCCTTAGCTGGTTTTCATCCAGGTCCTCTATCCTGGTCGAATTGGAATTTGGAGATGTTTTTGTGGAGGGGGGAAAACCGGTGAACCCGGAGAACTGTTCTCCTCTTTTATATTTAACTAAAAGAGGGCCATACTTCAGCGATCAGCCAGCCCGACAAATAGACAAACAGAAAGACAGACAGACAGATAGACAGACAGATAGACAGACAGACAGACAGACAGAGTCGGTGGGGGAATTCTGATTTAGGCTTATCACTAGAGAATGTAATATAATTCTCACCTCTGACCCGAGCAAGCATTTCTCTCGTGAGGGCTTGACATCGCTTTGACCAGGCGAAGGAATTCGCGCAACACACCTTTAATCTCTGTGCATCATGTAGCCTGTCTAACCTGGGTTTTTCCTTGACGGCTTGAATTGCTTTAGCCCAGTCTTTGGCGTCTGCTGAATCCACAACACACGATGAAGCCAAGGGATTTTTCATGTTCGCGAGAGCTTTTGCAAATCCCGAGTTACCGCTTACTAGAATAGGTAGACCGGCAGATAAGGCCTCAAGAGCAGTCAGACCAAAGCCTTCCGTCCTTGATGGCATAATGGCAAGATCCACCTGACATAGCAACTTAGCTAGCTCTGCCCTGCTTTCGATAAATCCACGAACGGATAGTTGACGAGGAGAAATGCCCTGCTGAAGTAACTTCTCTGCCACTTCTTCTTCACTCCCACTTGGTGCACCAACAGAATAGAGATGGTACCCTTGGTCCTTCAGCTCTGCAATCGCTTTCGCAGCTATATCAAATCCTTTCAGCTCGAAATCGTCCGCGTCACCACGACCAAACACCAAGACGTTAAATTTTTCTCTGTCGTCTTTAGCCTGCTTGCATTCTCTAAATTCGTGGAAGATGCTGGGATCTGGAATGATTTCAAAGACCTTCTTGTTGGGAGAAGGACGCAAATACGTCTTGTACAGCTCCGTTAACTTTGGCCCAACTGCAACCACCATGTCAGCACGGTCAGCCAGTTTTACCTCCGTATGGTGTTTCTGCTCCCCTTTCGAGATATTGAAAGAGTAATTCTTGTACATGGCGAGTTCCTCGGGAGCAGTATGCTCGACTTGAACCCAAACACATTTTGGACAGAATCTTTGGATCAGCTGGGCCTGTTTCCCGAGTCTCGCCCCATGCCCAACCACAATGTCGATCTCTGGTAATTCTTCTGGTGGAGAGGAAAGCCGATCAAGGTCTTCATAGCCAGGTAGTTCTTTTGCTTTTATAAGAGTGATACCATTGCTTGATGCAATTCGCTTTTCTTCTTCACTGCACTTTGTAACGTAGAAACTGACCTCCAGGTTGGGGTTTCTCGCCAGCTCTATTGCCAGTTGCCTGTTAAGGGTTCGTAAACCACCTTTCCCAGATCCCCATTCTCCGGCTAAAAGCAAAACCTGTTTTGTTTTGGTTGAAGGACTTGACACTTTCAGGAAATGCTCAGGCGAAGACCCCAGCGTTGATCGGCCAACTGAAAGTATAAAACAAGAAAACAGACTGTTAGGACGAGACTAACCCCACAGGGATGCACTTATTTAAGCTTATTTAAAATTAGTGCAGTAAAGCATAGCATTATCAGCTCGAAGTGTTTGCCAAGGGACAATAACAATCATAACAGACCACTTACCAATTTCATCCGGAGTGTTGTTGTTGTTCACGGCCTGAAAAAAAGATGACGATCAGTTTGAGGTAATTACAAACATGTACTGATATTGCTTGTAAGGTACCCTGGGTAAGACGCTACATTGCTGGTCTTGATTTCAATGGCCTACACTGATTGTGGAGACAGTCTAAGGAAACACTGTTCGATAGCGGGAGAGCACGAACGTTCCTGGTATCGTGAACTGTAATCTAATCTCCTGGTTTACATGGGTTGGATGGGTGAGCTGAAAGCTCATAAATGGTCCAAGAGCGACAAGCCGACGTCTGATCTCACACTCAAAGATATGTATACGAGGCCACCGTGATAAAATTATTTCGTTGTATAAGCACCATCATTCAGCATACAACTAATTGGCAATAGTTGACCCGAAACGTACCAGATGAAGTCAATTAAATTTTGCCGTTTGTCATGCCGTTCACGAAGTCATAATTGCTCTTCCAGTTATGAGCTATACAACGAAAGCCAGGAACACTCTCCTCACCTGAACCCAAAGATCGAAGTTTTCGTCAAGCAAGAAGGATTCATCGCCTGTGGCATCTGGACAGTAGAACTTGCGGCTTTTTAAAGGAATATAGTGAGCACAGTCGTCATGCAAACATCCCTTTGTGTCGTGCCAGATACAGTTGCCAGTGGTGGAGTCTACCTTTCCAGGACACAATCTGCATTGAACACACAAATCCCATGACACTGAATGCAACCAGTGGCACTCTCCGCGCATTGTCTCCAAACTCCTTTCCAAGCAACTAGAAAAAATGAATATTCCGTGAATTCTAAATATAGCAGAATCGACAAGTCTGGATGGTGGTACTGGGAGTTCAGTTATCAATAAATGTTTGACGATTTCTCAGCTCAAAGCCCACCTAGATCCTAGACACTTAATTACGACCGAACGTGCAATGTTTAAGAGGATTTCAAAACATTGAAAACGATTCCATGTTGGCTTTATTGCTGGCCAAAACAGCGGTTTCCAGGCTAACTCCTCCCCCCGCCACCCCCCGAGCTTGAAATACTAAATCAATCTTACCCTTTTTTTCTTCCTCACTAATAAATAGTTTGTTGCTACCACAGAAAATATCAAACCGCAGCATGCGATGGTAACTGGTCTAGAACGTTTGTTAATTCTTCTTACTGATGGATTTACAGTTCTTTTAATGTAAATTCTGATAATTTGATGGTCCATCAAAACAATATCACTTATAATTAGTTGATGATTTTTCTTTATTCTTGTCGCCTGTTTGCTTGATCATGAACTGGTATTGTAATGTGAAATCATGTTTTGATCAATCCTGGAGAAAGAAGGATTGAGGTGCTTACCTGTACACCTCCGAATGGAATCCCGAATCATTGCAGAATGGGTCCAACTTGTCTTGTGACCAGACGAGCAACTTGATTACACTTTTGAAGCAGACCAATCCAAGGAAGTTTTTGCCGTCTAAAACGAAGCGGGCTGCGTTCGCGAAAATTTGCTGCTGTTCGCAGGAACTTTTTGTCGACGCCCACACTCCAAACAACACGACAAGCCTGGAGAACAGCCCAATGGGCACGTACTCGGTCTTGAAAGTGACGTACATTGGTGAAGACGAGGTGTCGACCGCTGTTGGGATTATTTCTTTTCCTGGTCTTGCTGTTAGCATGCAGGGGACGAGGTAGATTTCTTCGTTGTCCATACTTGGACAACGAAAAAGAAGGTTGAATTTCTCCATCAGAAACAGCAATGATTGCTCAACTTGCTCCAAGCCCTGCTCTCTGCAGGCATGGTCAAGAAGCTCTTTTGCCAGAATGCCTTTCTCTTTGAGCTTCTTCCGATGGCTGCGGATGTTAATCTTTTCCTCTCTGCTCGGTACGACAGTTATTATTTTGCAAAGCACGTTTACAAGCCACTGCGGATCCAACACCACCAAGCCATTTGAATCATTTGCATTTTCGTGATAGATTATAGTGCCACGATCGTGAAGAAAGTTCAAAATCGCTTCAACGTCATCCACTTGAATTTTACAAAATTTCTCGACGATTTCTCCTTTAAAGGAAAGTTTAGGGATGTACTTTACTCCACACTGTGCTTCGTGTTGGATCTTGCTCTCTATGTAAAGCCACTGCAAGGGAACTTCCTTTTTGGTGTGCGGCAGCTTATTTGCCACTTCCAATATCTGCCGGCGCAAACGGACAATTCCTGGGTCTTCCTGGCCAAGTGTCTTACCAGCGCGTGTGTTGTCCACAGCAACGCTCCCTGCAATATGCTCACCTAGCAGTCTGTTTTTGCAGAATCTGTCTAACAGGCAATCCATGATTCTGTCGGGGTCTTCCTTGACGCTGTCGGCATGTGTACCCGCAAGGATGACTGGTGGTAGAGTCTCACTTTCCGCAGAGTGTTTTAAGGAGTGCACCATGTCCATCCACCTCATGATATGATCTAGATTCGAATCTTCGCTGTCCGGATTCGGCACCGAGGGATTGTTTCCAGTATTCCCTCCTGCCTTATCGAACAAATTCTTTGACAGATCAAATGCCAAGACGTACACAGCTTCCGGGCACATGAAGATGGGATGAATGGCACGATAAACAGCTTGGCCAGCGAAATCCCAAATGACGGGCCATATTCCATCGGAGTCGTTATCTTTGCAATTATCGACCTCGTCATCTCCAAAATTGTCCTCGACTAAACTCGAAATATCGTCTGGAATGGTGTCCACGTCCACCTTTCCATCAACTTGCAATTGTAACGAGGCTGAATGCAATGGGACACAAAGCAAAACTATAAGAATTATATAGAAGAGCGTACAGTTTGCGATGAAATTGCACTGAGCATCTTACAGGAATATGAAAACGAGCTTTTCTTTTCCCAGTCACCATGCACACTAGTGAGTATTTTATTTTCGCAAGAAAATGTTGACATATTGTCAAGATATGGGTCAGAAGCCTATATGTCACTAAGCTTGATCAACTTAATTTGTAATTCGGGGTGTGTTTCTTAAGACCCAAAATATGTTATTTTCAATACCCTATTTCAGACTGTAAATTAACTATGACAGTTAGTGAATTCATCAGCTCACTAGAAATGGCCTAAATTGGACCAGTGCTTAAAATTTCCCTGAAGATTTCGTTACCTGTACAAGGACGTCCAATTCCAGGCCTTAGCACCTAAAAAGTAGCCTATCTTAGAACAGATGGTCAAAGTCTATACACTATCTAAGACCAAAACGGCTCTAAAGCTATACCCTTTGGCGCCGCGTATACCTATTTACTTATGTAAAGAAGTACAACGAGCACACCTGGTTGTTGAGTAGTTTGATTGATTGCTGTTAGCTCCATGTTTGCTTCTCTTGTTGTGTCATCTTGAGATGGCTGATCAGTTGATCCTCTCAACAACTCTCGGTGAAGAATCTCGGCAACCTTCACCTTGTATGCACTCGACTTTCTATGAACTTCTGAATTTCTCCAAGGCTTTTCGCTGGCATTTGTGAGGGCTTCGCTCATGAGCACTCCATCTGTACTAGCCTCATCTTCTTTAAACGACTCACCTTTGAGTGCTTTGCCAAGACTGGTCTTCCCAACGCGGTCCTCTCCGATCAACAACACTTTGACCCGCTTGTCGTACGTTTTACCTGACTTCAGAGCTTTTCGATAAGCTGCTAGGGCATTTCCGCCTCTTGCCAGGATATAGGTAGGAATCAAATCTGCAAGGATGGGAGGGAAAGAACTTTATGTTGAGCTCATAACGAAGACTCAGGCTTGAGTGAATGTGTCAATAGCGCACTCTTAAAATGGCCTATTTGTAAATTAAATGTTGCAAACATAACACAACCAACTATGTGGCTAAATGTAATATCTAAAAGAGAAAAAGTTCATTTCGAGAGCATCATATGGGTTATACTTAAGTGTTTTACCTTTTTGAATGAGGCAATATTTCTGCACAAGATCCCTTCTGTGAAAGGAGGTGTGATCCAAAACTGCGGCTAATCCTTTGTAAGTAATGTTCTTACATTTCTCCTGGGTAAGCTCGAGATGCCTGAGAATTAGTGCGCCGTCTGTGGTATCCAAACAAAGTCCATGCGGGTCTTCTGGCTCACCATCGCTTAATCCCAGTAACTCGTAAAACTTCCTTAATTCGTCAGGATTATCACTTATGTCCCTGGCTAAGCATTCGATGTCTTCCACGGTCGGTATTCCTTCTTTCAACAGGCAGTCAATATCTATGAATATGAGAAGATGAGCTCTAGTTGTACATACACTATAAAGGCGCACTCCAACCTGGACTATGCAAACTCTTGCACAGAGGTATCGATATATGGGTCACATTGATGGATAGATAGAGACAGAGATAGCTGCCTCCTAGTCGGTGATATACTTTTAAAGTGAATGGCTTAAAAGGACCACCCCCCCCCCCCCAACCCTAACGTACCTTCCGATTTGCGTCTGGTTTTGGTGGGTAAACTCGTGCCAGTTTTATTGCATTTTTAAGAAAAATAGAAATTTCCAGATTTTCAGGAATGGTCCACTTCGCTTCCGGGCTCTTCAAGTATTGTTGAGGAATTTATCTAGTAAAAGAAATGCGAAACACTTGCGAAAAACATACCAATGTCATGTTCGTCTTCCATTTCCTTTCGTCCACGCGTTCAGTCAAAGAGACTCGACTTTCAAGAGCCACGGCCTGAAAACTTCGTCACTGAAGTTCCAAGAAGAAAATAGGAATTAAAATATAACAGAAATCAAATGCATGAAAAACTGTTCACTCCAAAACGGCAATCGATTATTGAAAATTACGTTTAAAAGTCTTTTCACTGTAAACTTATATAGTTCGTTTTGCAAGTCTTGTAAAAACCCTTCTTATTTTCGTTCTCAAGTACTGCTCAGTGTCAATACGGACGAAAGTTGGTAACTCCAGTTAACGAGGCTGACAGCCTTAACAATGGCCTGGTTCTTTGAAACACGCGGAAAGAAACAGGCCACACTGCCAAATCATTTTTTCCGGTTGCAAAAAAGTAAACTGCAAGTACTTTTAAATATATTTCTTTAAGTAACTAAGAACTGGAAGTTGAGGAAGCCAGAATAGGAAAACAGGAAGCTTGAAGCCCTAGGGTGGACAGGTCAGGATCGTTGCGTCCTCAAGCTATCAATGGCATCGGCCGGATCAATTACTTCTTCCAAAAATCGCAATTAAAGGTCACATGAAAATCTTTCAAATCAAACACGGCATTTTGGGTTTTATATAAGCATGTAACAGTGGATTTATATCTGACAAAAGTATCTTGACTGACGATTAACTCAGAGTTAATCTTGTTCGTGGAAAACCGATGATGAAGCCAGCGTCTTGTGCATGCATTTCTTAGAATTCGAAGTGCTCACAAACCCAACTATTGACCTTTCTTTACATGGGCGTTCTTGGAAACATCCAAATGAACAATTCACAGAATGTGCCACAACCTATTGCAGTAAACTGGAAAAACTAACTTTTTATGTACTGTGAATGTTGTTTTTATGTTTAAACACCTAATTTTGACTAGTTAAAGGATGAAAAAGAAAGCGTGCAACACGATAGATGACTTTCATGACGCGAGCGGTCTGATAGCCAACTCACTGTGAGGTCATTTCGTAGAAATCCCGGAATTTGTCAGCTAGCCACCTTCAGCTGGTAATGAACATAATTTAGACACGCTAGCGATTTGATTTATGCTTACTTCGTTGCAAACAATTTGATTACCGATAAAGCATTGTATAAAACAAAACTAATTAGGTCTGAAGGAATCCGAGCTGCTTGCAAAGAGCATTAAGAACTATTTGAATTAAAATGGTCATATTGTTTAAGATCACTGAACCCGTTGAATTTGTGATGAGATTTCCCGTAATTAATGCCCTGCTTGACTAAATGCGAAGCATTTTATTTCTGATGCAATAGCGAGTACAGTATACCTACCTTATCTATATATGTAGCTTGCACGTGCTACAAACACAGTGAACACTGGTGCGTCACACACCAAAACTGAGCTGTAGACCTTGAGAAATTTGCTTTCAAGTTTTCTACTTCATCTTTCTTTTCCCGTCTCAATTTGTCCCTGTCTTGTATTATTTATTGTCCTTTTGCTTCCTCTCTGCATGAGTAACTACTGTTTTGAGATTACCTTTGTTCAGTTTCAAGGTGATTTTGCATTTGCCAAAAATTGACTTAATATATGGTAATTATTGCTACTTTAGGAAGTGTGTCACATAATTACCTCAGACCCAAGCGTGATACAGCCAAGGGTATATTCACAGAGCGCTGATGTAAGATAATGCAGTAATGGTACTTTGTAATTCAAATGACTGCCGAGTGAATTGCGATCTTTCAGTTTTAAGCCCTGCAAAACAACGCTGGGGGTTGGGGGCTGGGAAACCCCCGGGCATCAACCCAACTTTCACTTTTTGTTGCGTTACGGGACTTGCCCCCTCTAAATATGGGTCAACGAATTTGTTTACGTACGTTCGTACTATTGGTCAAGAAAAATTATCTCAAAGAAACCTTTTCATTTACATGTCAACGTCAATCTGTAAAATTAACATACGTGCTTGAATATCGAATTGAATGAATTCGGAAATATCAGATTTCGTCTGAACGGTCCTTTCTCAAGAGTTATTGTGGGCTTAGGGAACGTGTTTTCAGCGTCTAAACTAAATTTATAAAGTCAATCTACTCACAATGTTTGAAGCGAAAAGCTCTGATAGACCTGTTAGCTTGTCATAGTTTGAAGGAGTAGGCATGCAAATATCTCATTGAAATAATTATCTGAAATCGCGGTTTAACTGAGCGTGTTAAGAAAAGATCCGGTACTTTCCCGTGAGGCTGTAAATAGAATTTTCGTTTTCATAATCAAAATAAATATCTTATTTCTTTCTCACGCCCTTCCGGGATAAAAAAAGCTGGTAATCCACCGAGATCATTTTTCGACATCACATGATAGATATTTAGTGAACGCTACCACACCATATAAAATTCTCGAACCGTGTAGTATTAGATGTTCTACCATAAGCGCACAGTCTTATTCTTCCGTCAGGAAAGAGATTACAGCTTATTCACCGTTCTCTTTACGAAAGGGAAGTTAAATTCCGCATCCGCCACTCACTATCTCCGTCCCTCTCAAACCTCCTCCTCCCCCCTGCAAAAAATAATGGTCGGCCCCTTAGGGAAGATTTTGCATGTCGTCACTTTCGGGGAAGTCCCCTCGTCGTTTCTCGGAAGACACGGAAAGCGAAAATTTTTCCCATGCGACAAATTGCGATCCTCACAAACAGGAATCAAACAAGACGCTCAGACATTCAAACTTGTTTAAAACCGGTGTAAAGCGGTGAGTTTAAACGAGTTGGTTTTCTGTGTGCGTTTAGTTATAGCGAACGAGTAAAATAATTTCAGTCTTATGCTTTGTCGCCCTCTAAAGCGAAATTCTGCGTTCCTCTCTTATGAGGCGAGGGAATCAGCGAATTTAGTGTATATCCTGTTTGGTTTATAGCAAGAAGTGATCGCTATTAATATACAAAATTGTAGCTTTTTCATCGCGAGCGAGTTGACCGCAAGAGCAGCAAGGAGCTGTATTTCAAAAGGATATTCATCGCCGTTTCCGGACTGATTAGGTTGTCGGGAAATTTTGGCAGACCTTAAAAACTGAATATTATATTATTTTTAGAATATGCTGATCGGGGTTATTATTGCATTAACCCATCTCGAAGGTCTGTTTTGCAATGTAATATCGTTACTTCCTATTTGTGTAGAGGGCAACAGTTGAAATGGGTCACCACCATGTCGGATTTTCTTGCGACTCAGTACTGAATTATGGCGGACATTTTGCTGCCACGTTACAATGTCGACCATGATTGCATTCTTGTGCACCACGTGGTTTCAGTCAAGCATAGAATTGCTCCCGTCGTGGAAACGTTTATTCTGTGATTCATTTCATTTTCGTTTTGAGTTCGTTGCGCCGGTTACGATCTTTTTTTTGCGATATCCCAACAACATGTCTGTGCTCACCAGTTTGTTTTGATTAGCTAGAACATGTTTACATTGCCACTTTCGAAATGATTTTGGTCCCTGAAACCAAAATAATACCGTTTCGTTTCTGAGGAAATGAAACAACACTCATTGAAATACGGTGAAGTAATACACGAGCTTCTAAGCTAATCAAAACGGGTAAGTCTAAGAACTTCGATCTCACGAAATGAAAGTAAATGTATTATGCACAAGGGGAACCCGGAAGCGAGCGAAAACAATGAATTGGGAGCCCCATATCGTTTCGACTTCATGGCCATTTTCGGAAAGAGCAGGGCCCTTCGCGATCGCATGGCTTTGATCCAGTCGAAAAATACATTTAATGATTATATACATTCGATTCACAGACTAACATACTAATGAAACTCAAAAGCGTCCAGCAACGATAAAGGAACAAAGTAGGCACAGTCGGCATACATTAGACGAGGGAAGTTTTCTTTTCGTATTGCCTCTAACATTTGAAAAGGAAGCCACATCAGCCCTAGCTGGTTTTCATGCGGGTTCTCTATCCTAATCGAATTGGAATTTGGAAATGTTGGTTTTTCAGGAGGGAAAAAACCGGAGTACCAGGAGAAAAACCCGCGGAGCAAGGCGAGAACCAACAACAAACTCAACCCGCAGGTTCGATACCGTCGGAATCGAACCTGCGCCAAATTGGTGGGAGGCGAGTGCTCTCACCACTGTACCAACCCTGCTCCCTTCCCAAGGGCGCATTTTCTCCACATCTTAATAGTGGAAAGAGAACTGTCATTTCATATTGTCACTAAGTCGTTTGTACCACATTATACGTGTAAAAAAGCAAATAAGGAAAACTAAGGCACGAGAGAAAAATAATTGCCAGAAATCAAATTACTAGACAAAACAAACTGAATTTGTAACAAAATTTTGAGTTAAAAAAAAGAAAAGATCGATGGCTCTTGCACTTGTCCTTGCAATTGATTCACCAGAAGCTGTTATTAAGCTCCACATCGTAAGTAAGAGGATAAGACGTAAATTAACTTTTGCATCTATATTCTTGAAAGTTAATTCACAAATATTGGGACTGTTTTTGTTGAGTCTTGATTGGCACTTACATATTCAAATCCAAGAAAATGATCGTGTCGAGGCTGCGGCAAGATGTATGCAAGTGAATTATAACTAGACAATACAGTTTCTTCTAAGATGCTTTAATTTTGAAAAAGCTTATGAATATTTCAGAGAGACATGGAAACCAGACGAAATGATAGTCCCCAGGGGCATATAACTGAAGAGCAAACGGAAGGTGCGTCGGCTATCTTGACAGAAAAGAAAGCAGAAAAGGAAGATCAACTTTCGACCCTTCTTTCAAGTGCCCGCGAGCTTCTTGTCAGAGAAAAGCATTCAAACAATTATAAACAAGCTGCAGAATTACTAGAACAAGCATTACTAAAGGTTGAGGGGACATCCAAGGAAATCATGAAGGCTGAAGTTTGTGGCGAACTCGCCGAAGTGTTTCTCTCTTTAGATGATTACGAGAAGTCTCTTGATTACGGCCAGAAGTGTCTTTCCCTTTCTAAAACAACTGGTCGTAAAGATCTCGAAGCATTGGCCTATGCCTCTGTTGGCAGTGCCTATTCCAAGTTAGGAGACTTGCGGAGAGGTCTTGAATTTCATACGAAGTCCTTGGATGCAAATTCCACAACAGGAGACCAAAAGCAAAAGTGGAAATGTCTATACAATCTGGGTGTCACCTGTGGCGAGCTTGGTGATAACGAAAGTGCAACTGGATACTTCAGAGAAAGTCTTACCGTTGCTGAGGACGTCGGAGATAAGCTGTCGATTGGTGAGTCCCATGGTGGACTGGGTGGTGTCTTCTACAGGACTAGACGGTATCAAGAGGCCATACTTCACAACGAGAAGCACCTTACCAAGGCCAAGGAAGTCAAGGATAAGGAGAGTCAGGCAAAAGCTTGTGGAAATCTCGGCAATGTTTATCTTTCCAAAGGAGATTATATCAAGGCTTTTGCACTTTATCAACAGCAGCTGACACTCTACCAAGACACGGGCAACAAGTTTGGCGAGGGAAATGCAAAGGGGTCCCTTGGAAATGTTTATCACTGTCGTGGGGAAACAAGAAAAGCGATTGGGTATTATGAAGCCCAATTGTCCATCGCAAACATGCTGAAGAATAAGCCAGCACAGGCATGTGCTATTGGAAGAATTGGAAGAGCGCAGCATTCTCTGGGAGAAAATAGGGAAGCACAAAAAAATCTGGAAAAATTGCTGCAGCTTTCCATAGAAATTGGCGATAAAACCAACGAGGGTTTTGCCTACGGTTTCCTAGGAAACACCCATAGATCTTTAGGCAATTACGAAGAAGCCATTAAGATGCAAAAAAAGTTCCTGGAGATTTCAAAATCAACCGGTGACAAGGCTGCAGAAGGGCTGGCCAACGCCTACCTGGGAAGCATCTACTATTCCCGAGGAGACTTTGAAAAGGCGCTAGAGCATCACGGATTCAATCTCGCTATCAACAGGGAATTAGAGAACAAAGGAGGAGAAGGGAGGTCGGTCGAGAAGGTGGGAAACATTCATTTCCAGCTTGGAAATTACAACAAAGCAATTGAATGTTATCAGCAAAGCCTTGATATCGCTCTGGCTATCAGAGACAAGCCATTGGAAGGTGCCTCATACGCCAATTTGGGAAATGCCTTTCAAGCCCTCGGAATGTATTCACAAGCTGTGAAGATATACGAGAAAGCCGTGCCTTACGCCAAAGCCGTTGGGGACAAGCGAATGGAGGGAGCGATGCTTGGAAACCTAGGAAGGGCGTACAACTGCATTGGAAATCATCAAAAAGAGCTTGAATGCCATTTGCAACATCTCTCGCTTTGTGAAGATTTGGAGGAAAGACAGGGAGAAGCGACCGCCCACGGCAATATCGGAATGGTCAACTATCGCCTTGAAAATTACAAACAAGCCATTAAGCATAATGAGAAGCAAATCTCTATTTCAAGTTCTATAGGAGAACTAGATGGTGAAATGACTGGCTACTTAAATCTTGGCAAGGTTTATCGGCAATTAGATGAACTGACAAAGGCCATTGAATTGCAACAGAAGGCTTTGAGCTTTGCCGAGAAGATGGGAAGGTTAGACAAGAGAGGTTTCTGCCACTTCGACCTCGGCATCTCCTATTCAAGGCTCCAGAAGTTTGAACTTGCTTGCGATCACTTGGAACAGTGCACTACCATGTACGCTGAAGTGAGACGACTTCTCTTTGAGAAAGACGAGTACAAGGTTTCTTTAAGTGACGTACAGGCCGGCGCTTACCGTCTCTACACACAGTGTCTCCTTCAACAAGAAAAAGACGAAGAAGCACTACTGGTCACAGAGCGCTCTCGTTCGGCGGCTCTTGCTGACATGATGGTGGTATCGTACGGCCAAAAAGACCCAAGAGGAGTCAAAAGGGAAAACCTCAGTGGAACGAACATGCGTGAGGTCGTTTCACGTTTAGAAAGTCGCATCATATAC